GTAATATCTGAGAAAGAGTCAGAGAAATACAAAGAAAAAAGAATGAAATCCAATGAACACCGAAGAAATATTAGAAAATATGAAAGAAAAGGACAAACCTATGAAACCGGAGAAAGAAACAAAAGAAAAAAAAGGAAAAACGAGTAAAAACCAGGAATAAAATGTAGTAAACCGGTGAAAAAAAGGAAAAAATAGAGAAACCAATGAATAAAGAAAGAAAAAAACAGAGAAAACGTGGCGTACGCTTACTAGCATGCGAGCGAAGGCTCCGGAGCGAGAAAAAGCCTGCAGAGAGACATAAGCTACTCTCGCACCAAGCGAGATATAGCTCTCGCGGCTTCTCAGACCCGTTCTTTTCGGTTTTCTTCGGTTTTTCTATTCTTTTATAATCTTTGTTTTTCCTTTCCTTTTTTTTATTTCATATTCATTTCCTTTTTTTATTACAGGTTGATATTAATTTTATCTTTAGATTTATTTTTTAATTTTTAAATATGGTAATAATCTTCTGTTCATAATTCCAAAAAAATAATCAATTTAACAATATGTTCATCAATTTCTAACATGTTCAGGTAATTCAACAAATGGTCATCAAATTAAATTTCTACTGTATCTATGAAATTCAAAAAACATACATCTAATTCAAAGATTTTCATCCTAATTAAAAAATTCATCATATTTTTTAATATTTTTATGAATTTACAAAAAATCATCCAATTAATAAAATGTTCATCCAATTTGGAACTTCCTCATCTAATTTAAAACAGTTCATAATTTTTTTTAAAAATCTTTGCATCGGTGCACATTTTGTGAAATTCATGAATGTTTTTTCCAATTAGTGAATATTATTTTGAATTTAGTAATTTTTTTAAAAAATGCAAAAAATATATACATTTTTTAGATTTTAGGAATTTTAAAATTAATGAAAAAACTAAAAAAACATGAACATTTTGATGAAATCCCGAATTGTGATATAATAAACTAAAAAGAGAAAAAAAACAGAAGACAGAGAGAAAAGAAATGTAAAAGAAACAATGAAAGAGATAAAAAGGGCTGCCTCGCCCCGCAAATGGGCCGGCCAAAAAGGGCGCGCTGGCGAAGTGGATGTACCCGTTTCATCACTTCGCATCGTGGTGCGTGGTAAATAGGAGGTCCCCTACGTTGGGAGACCTCCTCCCCCAACGTGTTTAGCGCCAGGGAAGGT